CCTGACAGTGATTTATATGCCTATGTAGCTCACTTACATTTCCTAGAGCAGGGCTTTTCAACCTTTTCACCCATTGTACCACCTTTAGGATACGGCAACATCCGAGTGCCACCAGTCGCCTAGCAAGGAGTCAAAAACTTGATCACCAAAAAAAAAAAAAAAGGAAAAAAGTGATGAAGTACAGGTAGTTCTCGACTTACAACAGTTCGCTTAGTGACTGTTCGAACTTACAATGGCACTGAAAAAAGTGCCCCCCCAAGTCACAGCCGAGCAAGACACCTGCCTGCCCGCCCGGCGGCGCTCTTCCTCCTGTCCGAGGTTTCCATTGTTGTGAGCATTTCTGTTGAGGATTGGCAGTGTGTGTGTGTGTGTGTGTGTGGTTTTTATTCCCCCCATCTCCGGGGTGGTTGCAGCAGGTTTTGGTCACTTCACATGACCCTGGGACACTGTGACCGTCATAAATATGAATCAGTTGCCAAGCATCTGAATGTAAATCACAAGACCCTGGAGAGGCTGCAGCATTCCAGCTGATTGGTGCTTCTTCAGGGCTCAGCAGAAGCGCCAGGATCAGTGCTGAGCTCCAGCTGGAGCCTGGCGCTGATCCTGACGCTTCCACTGAGCCCTGACAGCCCCGAAGAAGCGCCAATCAGCTGGAAAGCAGCACTGATCCTGGCGCTTCCGCTGAGTCCTGACAGCCCTGCAGCTCCAGCCATCACTCGCTCAGGCTTGTGCCACTGGTTCAGCTCATTCCCCACTACTTTTCTAGGATGGTCGCGTACCACCTGCCAGGTGCCAATGTACCACAGGTGGTCCCCGTACCACTGGTTGAAAAGCCCTGGACTAGAGCAGAACCTATGGATCTGTTTCAGTTGGTGTTTTAAAAGTAAGTTTTTGAAAACATAAAATTGAGTCAACATACATGCTTGCACATTCTCTGCATTTCTGAAAAGGAAATGCCCAGGTTAAAAGTAATCAAAACGCTGAAGTTTCCTTAAGCATTTGATATTCATACTTAGATACCTGACAAAGTGGTGTTGCTAAATCTAAATAATAATTAAGCTCATCCTATCCACACTCGCTATATGGTAACATCACTTTATCTTGATTCACAAATTTGTGAGACAACTTTACTTGAACACCATAAGAGGTCAGCCTAACTCAAAATATAAATCCTGTCAGCAGCAATTTGTCTGCATCTTAAATTAAGGAATCAATATTTCAAAATCGCCTCCCGTTCTTAATTCAACGTTTGACAAAATCATGGCAGAATTTCCAATTTCTATATGATGTCCAGAGTTCCAGCTGAGAAACATGTACGGGGGACCAGAAATGCTCTGCATGTAACTGATTTTCCATATATATGCCTATTTTTTTCCTCTCCTTGCATTTTTGCTACAGAAGTATAGAAGACAAATGTTACTACACGGTGACCAAGTTCCAGATAAAGAAGCTTTTAAAATAATTTGAGATCTACAATAATTTTTTTTTAAAAAAATAACAAAATAAAACAAACAGGAATAGTTCAATAAGGAACGTTTGGAGATGCAGCACAATTCGTGGCTTTTGCAGTTTTTTTGCGTTCAGGCGAGTCAAAGAGTTTGCTTTCATTGACAAAAGGTGATAAATGGCTGGAGAAGGAGGCCCTTTGAAAGCTCAGCTCTTCGGAGCAAAACAGGAACACTGGTTCTTTCTTTTGCAAACACGAGAAAAGAAACGGGAAACCTTGTACGCTCACAAGCTTTTTAAAATTACTATTTGCAGCGCTCTCTTCTTCTCTGAAGCCTGTTCCCCCCACCCTCCCCTGGGATGCTATATACGATTCCAAAATAAAGGCATTCCCTAAAATCCACTGAGCTGCCAATCAGAAAAAAAACAAGATGATTCTGTACAGCCAGAAAGAAGCTGCAGGGCTGTCTTTGAATTACATTTGACAGTAGTCAAATTTTGCACTGAAAACAGAAAAAGAGTTTTTGAACCTTCCTACAGGCTAGGCTTAATCACTACCCAGACCCTGCGGAGAAGAGACTGGAGCTTTGCAGCCAGACACTCAGATGGGTATAAAAGAAATCAGATATATATTCCAAAATAGCCAGCTTTCTGGTATTAAATGCAAAATAAATAATGACTGTATATTAAGACCAGATTTGGAAAATAGCTGTTGATGTGCCAGAATCTACTCACTATACTAGGACTATTGGGAAAGATGCATGATATAATTACAAATTTGGTGGGATTAATAGGAATTTTGCAGGGGGGGGAGGAAGGAGGAAGAAGGTGCTACATTTTATTTGGAATATCATTACTGCATCTCGTTTACAGATAATCCTCAGTTTGCAACCATTCCTTTAATGACTGTTCAAAGTTGCAACGGCACTGAAAAAAAGCGACCCATTTGTCACACATACGACTGTTGCAGCCTTCCCACGGTCACGTGATCAAAATTCAGAGGCTTGGCAACTGGCATGGACTTATGACGGTTGCACTGTCCCAGAATCAGGTGATCGAGATATATAATATTACAGTGCATGAGGCATCTCCCTTCTCTAAAATAAATGTCATTTTACTATAGCTTAGATAGGAATACTCATTGCTGAACGACTCCAGGCACCTCACACACACAAACACACACATACACACATTAGTCGATCCAGGCCATTCAACTTTCACAAGGAAGCTGGTGACGCAAATCTTAGCTCATCTGCATGCCTAGCCGGAAGGCAAAGGAGGGGAGCCTCTGTGATGGGACCCCAAAACACGTAGGAGCCACCCCCAAGTTTAGAGAACAGCGCTGCTTCATCGCTTTTGCAAAGTTCTAAGGAGGAACAGAGGAGACTGACATGAGTTGGGAACACAGTGTGTGATTCCCTTCTCACATGTGTAGGACAGGG